ACGTGGAACCCCCTTTGCACTTCTGTCTGGGGAAGTGATTTAGGTCTGGGCTGCATTTATAAGCTGATGAGGAGAAATAGCTGACCAATGACTGGAGTGCTCCAGGAGGACAACCAAGAGGAGGATTAGCACACTGATAACAGCAAAGAAAACAGTGATTCACACGGCAGCCCTGACTGTGCATCAAGGAAGTTAGGGGCACACTGAGAGTTACCTAAGTGAAAACCCCACCTGTCTTTTAGCTCCGCTGGAAAAGAGCAAATTCTGATTTCTCATGTCAGTATCCAGCTTCGTATCATTCGGCTGCTTTTTTTCTTCCCTTGGCTTTCTCTATAATTCATGCTTTTCATTTGTTTAATATATTCTAGTTCAACAAAGCACTTTTTGGGCATTATTTCCTTTAAAAAGAACTGTTTCCAAAAGAGCAAGGTGTTACACTAAACATTTTAATAGTATCTACTCAAGGGACTTCCTTGTAATTGAAAATTCCCCCACAACTATTGGGTCTGCTTTAGTAACACTGGATCACTTTGTACACACAGCAATTTCACACCATCACAGCACGTCACTCTTCCTCAATGGGGTTTGATTTCAAGTGACGGAACTGTTCTGCACCAAGTGGAACAATCTGCTAATAATGAAGATCAGCCATATTTTATCACCTGGAATTTAGAAGTGATCAGAGTTTTGAATGGGCCTGATGCAATCTGGAAATGATTCAGTGTTTTGAAACTCTGTCGTCATGCGATCCAGAGTGTAACACCTACCTCAGTTTACAGGGCAGAGGTCACCTCAAACTCTGGATAGTAAAGTGACACGGTGCTCCAAAGCCCCCTTCAGCAGGTGAAAAGCAGAGAACAGGGATGCAGCCTCCCTGTGACGCCAGCGACAGGCCTGATGTGCCGCTGTTGTAAACCAAACTCCTGTCGTCTGATTGAAAACTTCCTCTTTAAATCCACCCGAGGCTGGAGAAACAGAATTCTGCCCTACTCACTGTCAACGAGGAGAAAGCAGGTGTGCGCATCTTCAAGCAGAGTGCACTACCATCTGTTTTATGAGGGCGGTAAGAGCCGGCCAGGTGGAAGACAGGCAGCAAAGTCTTGAGGGCACGCACATTCAACAGGAGAACGCTTCCCACAACCTCACACTGGTTGTTTGTATTTATCTATTCAGTTCCTCTACTGCCGCCGTGCACCCGGGTCATGACCCATCTCAACTCAGCTGAAATATTCAGCTGGTACTCTGATCACTTTGTCAATCCTTCAGCTAACTTCCAGAGAGAATTTTCCTTTCGATCAGCAAGGGTCTACCCCGCTACATCCAGAATTGGTGAGGCGAGCCAGCCCCTCCCCCCAGCCCCCTCCCTTTTACTTCACTTTAAACCCAAGACACGCCCCTGCCCAACTAGAACCAGCGATACAGGCCATCCACCTTCAATCCACTCAACTCTCCTGGCGAGACCGAGCTGTGTTTTCTACACTTGTATTACAAAAACACGACGGGTGGCTTTCCTTTCTATTTTGTTTTACAAAATGTACAACTGTCCTTTACTAGGGAGGAAGTGAAGCATCACCACCTCAGAGAAGCAGAGAGCTGGGGTCAGAAGCAGGTATTTTACCTGACTCAGGACATGGGAGACCTTCAGTCTGACAGGCTACGAGTCCACCTGCCACCACGTGTAAGAGCCAGCTCACCAGCGGTGCTCGACACACCACGCAGACAACTAGACACCGGGTCTCAGACGTGAGGTGTTTTTATAATCACTCAGTTACACCAAAACACACAGCCACGAACATAGTTTATTTAACAAAATTAGAACTTCCAGGTACATGTAAATAACAATACAAAAGCTGATGACTAGTCAAACAGTTCAAGTTCACATTTAACACTAAATTGTTTTTAACCACAATGGTTAATTCTGCGCAAAACAATGCTTTCCTTACATCTCCCCATTATCAGTCTTTAGTCTCAATGGGACCCAAAGTAAAAAACTGGCTAGGGAAGGTTAAAATACTGGCAAGCCGTTTAAGTCGTTTGTAGCTTCAGAGAGGCTACAAGGTCTTGATGCGGGTTCTTACTTTAAAAAGAAAAGTAACACCAACTGTTTAATTATTTTTTTGAAGCAGCAGATGAAACAAATTTGCAACCAGCCTGAACCAACAAACTTGGCGACGGCAAGCTCTGTGGCACGTGAAGGCAGGCACGATCGTAACCTTCATGCACAATCTCTGCAGCATCTGAGCACATTTTTATCTTAAAAACATTCTCCCATCCCTCAACAGGAGATGCTTATTCATTTAAAGAGAGAGATGATAAGGTTTGTGGGAAGGAAATAGCAAAATTTGTTTAAATAATTGATACGCCAACCAATGTGTGTGTGGTTTCTGAAGACTTGTAACCTGAATCTGGGGGGTTTTTTCAAAGGAAGGAAGCACAGTCTAGGGTCAACTGAGGGACTCCAATGATGGGAAGGAGCGTACTCAACGCCTGCACCTGACCTCCCCGGGGGTACCTCTTCCCCGCTACACCTGTCCCCCGGGGCAGTGTGACAGGAGACGAGCCACAGCAAGGCACTTACCTAGTTTACTTGGTAGAAGAAGAAATTAATTCAGTAACATGCAAGTTCAAACAGTCAGACATTTCCCGGCAACAAGAAGCCAGCCTGTCCTCGGCGTACTCCGCTGTCACCTGTGTCCGCCATCACCCGCCGGCACAGAGCCCAGTCAACGGAATTTCCACTTCCCGAGTGTCAGGCCCTCCCACCCGCGGGCACTCCGTTGGCTCTGGAGCGCTGACGGTCGTATTTCACAGAAACAATAAGGAAAAGCACGAGGGTAGCTCCTTGAACAGCAGCCAGAAGAAAAAAGTAATAGTTCAAATAGCAGCTGTTAATGTTACCTGGAGAAAAATGACAGAGAAAGATGCACGTCAGCCACACTTAGAGACGTTTTGAAAGGTTTTGCTGTTTTATTTGGTTCCCACTGAAGTCAGCTGAGCGTCTGACGTGGCTGGGTCTGGCACTCTGAATCAACCCCTCAGCTCCTCATGGCACGTCGGCCAGCGCTCTCAGCCTCCAGACACGTGGTGACCCCATTTAAGCTAGTAGCAGAGACGCACGTACGCCATGTCAGATCACCTCTGCCTGGGGTTGTGTAGGCAACTCAGAATTTACCCATCACAGAAGACCCAGCCACCCTGGACCCCGCAGGCCTTTCTACGGCCAGAAGGGTAATAGCATGTAAAGCTGGCAAACACTGGAGACTGTACGTGTAATGAGAGATACTCCGGGGCCCCAAAGTCACGAGTGCACGTGCCTCCCCATGCACGTGTACAAGGATGCTCAGAGCCGCTGAATTCTTCAAAGCCCAGAGTGGAAATCCCACAAGCGTCTAGCAACAGCGGAACGGGTGAATTGTGATATATCCGTAGAAGGGAACACGGCTCAGAAGGGAGAAGGACAAACTACTGAGGAGGGTCTCGGACGTGGGGAGGAGAGGGATGACCCCAGCACGGCACACACTGTGCGAGCCATTCGCACCAGGACAGAGAGGAGCAAAGCCCCCCAGACCAGCACGTCCCGTCAGGAGGGGACGGCGGGGAGCCTTCCAAGAGATGGGAATGTTCCGTCTCTGATCTGGGCCAAAAACTTATCGAGCTGTGTACTGAGATCAGGGTACTTTACAGTATAAAGGCCATACCCACCTTAAAGAGTAGTAATCATCAAAGGAAAGAAAGCAAGCTTGCTGGGAAGACAGGCTGGGAAGCAAACAATGAAATACAAACTCCCCTAACTTTACAGAAGTGATTTTGTCTGTCACATGGCCTGCTTCCTCGTGTTCTGGTGTCTGACTTGATTCCGGACGATTCTGGAAGGAAGTGAAGGAGGCGGGCAGGGGCCCGGGAAAGTGCACAGCGTGGAGGGAAGTGGGGTGGGCAGGATCTGCCCTCGGATGTGCTGCTCCTGAGAAGCCAGGACTTGAAGGAGGGGTGGCCGCTGGGCCTCAGCCTCTCCCTAAATCAGCGCTACTGACTGTTTAGGTTCACCTGCCTTTGACAGCAGTCGACTCCTGAGTAAGCTGGGGAGCTGCTATCTGTCAGGGCATGCCTGCTGTGGGTCACCCCTCTGCATCTCCAACGGGACACCAGGGACTGTGAGGGATGATGACTCGAACCCCAGCCACTGGGGTGCGAACAAGAAGAGGCTGTCAGACACGAATACAGCACACGGTTTGGGGCTGGCTGGGAACACACTCCAGAGAGTCAGCCTTCCAGAATTAACATCAGCAAATAGAACTCAGGTTCAACTCCTGTACACGTATGCTAAATGTATAACCAGCCCCCCAGTGGAAAGGTTAAAAATAAACCTGCAGGAAACAAATTATGAATGTTAAGTAAACTGGGGATATTAAATTAGTAAAGAGGGCATGAAACTAACTGAAAAACAATCAGAATGAGAAAAACTAATCAATCCTTCATGATGCATTTAAAATAAAACAAACAAGAAGAAACAGAACTAGAGCTGTGGATGGGGAAGTCTGTTCATGTACTGAGTGGCCTGTGTAACACGCAGGACCCACAAGAATCCTCAGAGCTCACTGAGACCCTGGACCTTATTCCACACCCTAGACAGGGGCCGAGGGGATGACAAAAGCCAGCAGACCCGCTCACTTCTCAAACACATACCGGGGTGGGGGGGATGGTGGCAGCATGGGCTTCTAGAAGCTACCCAGAACTTGTCCATTAGGACAAGGACCTTAACTCTGTCACAGACAAGTTTTTAGAGTTCTGCAACTTCTGGAGAAAAAAACCCTTAAATTTTCATCAGCTTTTCAAGTGATTTATAACCCAAGGATGGCTAAGTACCACCAGATCACAGCAACTCCAACACAATTATATAAGAAAAAGTATTTTGTAACCTATTTTTCCATAGGTAAAATATTGAAGAAAGAAAAAGAAAATAAACCTTCATCTCCTGGATCCTTTTTAAAAAACTATTATGAGTCTAGAGACAAAACTCTGATATTTTGTGATTCTGTCCAACCCCTAAGACGCCACCTATTGGTGCCCGTTGTAAAATTCCACTGTAACGGTTTACGTAATAGGAAAAAAAAAACAAGTTAAATAAAGGGACACTGATACACACTTTCTTTGCCTCGCAGAAACAGCCTTGACACTGAGGTGGAGGAGGCACTCTATCAGTCAAGGTTTCCCAAGTAAATACCGATCGCTGCGGCAGCTGCTGGCCGAGGTGAGGCCCAGGCAGACCCGGCAGCTGGGATGAGAGCAGACAAGGAGCTGTAAGGCTCCAAGGCAGCACAGGGACGGCCACACGTAGCTGGGGGGCCAGGCTGGTCTAGGTGAAAGCAGCCCCACTCCCTCACACACTCAGGAGCGGCCCCCAGAACCCACTTCCCATCCCAGTCATCTTCAGAGTGGACACCCGCTCTTACCAATGTCTGCGTGGCTGCTCATCCACCCGATGGCCTTGACAGATACCAGGGCCAGGAGTCCGGAGCCCACAAAGGACCCGATGCCGGAGAAGAAGAAGAACAAGCCCATGATGGCACTCTGCATGGACTTGGGGGCAGCCGAGTACGCAAACTCCAGACCTACAACAACAAGGGGTGGGGGGGCGCTGGGCTGTCAAAGGAGCCAGCCGACGGCTGACCTGGCCCCACGAGCGCAAGGTGCACATCGGGGCTGTAGAGCTGCAGTGTCCAAAACTCCCTTCCCTGTTCTCAAGATCCCACTCACACAAGTTCAAGAAATCAATGGTTACAAGTTAGCTGCTTATTCTCTTAGCCACGACGACAATTTCTAAAACACAAACAAGTCAATGAAGCAGAAACTTAACCTCTTACTCTCAAACTTCATGGTAACATTTAATTTGTTGGATCTTACATTTTTCTGTTCCTTACGGAATGAAGGAGGATGAAGAAGCAAAGTTTTCCTATACTCTCAAGTCGTGGAGTTTAAAAACAAAGTGTATATTCACACTGAAATGGGGAATCTGCTTATGAATCCTATTTCAAAGGCGATCTTTTTTAAAGCCACTTTATCAGTTATACCTATAGATCCAGATTTTCTCAAATTCATTTGCCAATCCTGTATGAGTTTTCTGAGAGTGGAGAGGGGGAACCACCGCCCACACGCCTCCTCGGCTTCTGAACATCACTAACTCCCCCTTCTCCCTCGCTCCCACTGCCCGAGCCGGTCCGTGCACAACACACTGTCCATGCCCCAAAGTAACTGTTGGGGAAGGGGAGGCCTGGGGCAACATGCTTTGAAGAAACAGACTTGACTCTAGATGAGTCTAGCCTGCAGTCACGGAGAGCTGTGGCTCCGTGCACACAAGCAGGCTCAGCCCAGCAGCTGCCCGCCAGGACTTCTCTGCCTTTCTCTCTCCCCTGGCACCTACAAGGGCGCTGATGAGTCTTCATGAAAATATCTTGGGAGATACTGTTCTTAAACCAAGAGGAGAACCTTCACCGTAGTATTGCCGCTCATTTTCCAATCCATATTCTGAGCCACAACTGCCGGCGAAAAACGCAGAAGTACTCTGCTATTTCTGTCTCGCCCTGTTCTAACAACATCGTAGATCATGCTGGTGTTTACTATTTCATGACGAGACCTGCAGTGCCGCCGACGCTGTTAAGGGAACCTCACCTGCTATACTTGCAAATATCTCGCTGATCCCGATCAGCACGTACTGTGGGAGCTGCCACCATATCGGCAGATCGGCCGCATAATACACAACGTTCCCGATGGTCTGGTTGATGGTTTTCTCCTTCACGAGGTCCAGCCGCTTGCTTTCTAGAATTCCTACCATTCATGACAAGTAGGTTGGTATAGCATTTATTTATCAACGTTTAAAATTAAACTAAAAACCTACGTGTTTGCTATGAAGATGCCAATTGATTCTTAGAAAAATGCCTGAAAGGATAAGGCCCAATCAACAGCTCCCTGCCAGGACCCCTGCACCCAAGGAGTCTCCCAGCTTTCAGCTTCTAAGGTAGGTAACTAGAGAGTACAGACCACGCGCCTATTCCGTGTGGGCTTTCTACAACGTTGTATATCAAAGAGGTGCTCAGTATGTTCAAGTTCACAGGAGGCCACAAAGAAAGCCTTGAAGCCCCAGTGCAGGGATTATAAAGCCATAATTTCTCCCAGTTCCACCCAGGGCTGCGAACCAGTTTCCAGGTGATGCTAATGCTGCTGGTTAGGGACCAATTCTCAGAACCCCTAGAAGAGCAGCGGTTCTCAAAATCTATTATACAAAAGAATCTCCTGGGGATCTTGTTAAACTGTAGACTCTGATTCAGTACATCTGGAATGGAAATGCAAATTCTCAGCAGGGGTTCAAACCGAAAACCAGGTTCAAAGCCCTGATTCCACCACAGAGCCAGACATCGTTAACAAAGGTATAAACCTATCAATACCAAGAAAGGAAAATATTGATTGAAATTACTCGTTATCAAAAAGAAATCATAACCAGTTTCAATGTTCGTGGAAAACATTACAATGAATCAAAGCATATAGAGTTGGTCAAAGCAGCAGTAACAGGCAAAATCAAAGTGTTAAATGTTTTTCATTATTAAACAGGAAAGAATGAATAAAAGTGAAACAAGAATTTAACTCGAAATGAGAAGGAAAACCACAAAACTAACTCAAGTAAAGAGAAAAAAACACATCGACGCATGAAATTAGGAATGAGGAAGGGAACATACTACCGATTTACTTAGAAGACCATTATTTTATTTCTAGACTAATAATTTTTATAAAAACTCAATAAAATGAGTGGCTTACAGGGAATTTTTTTTAAAAAAAAGCTTAACTGACTCAAGAGAAAACAGTATCTGAAACCTGGAAAAAGATGAAAAAGTTACCAAACAAATTCCCTCAGGAATCTCTCCGGTGATTTTCAGATACTTGGAATTTTCTGGGAATGGGTAAATTCATCCTACTAAAAAACTATCTGGCCCGCCAAAAAAAAAAAGCTGTGAAGTCGACCATCTCCTTTTATGCAGCTACATAACGCCGACACCACCATGTGACGAATACAGCCGAGATCAATGCCGTCACGGACACAGACGCACACGCGTTAAAGGACAGAGCAGAAGCTACAGATCAAACGATCCCGTTCAGCCCTCTTTAAACAAGCAGGATTTATTCCAGAAATGGACCAACAGCTAACAGTAAAAAATTAAATAAAAAAATCAATGACAAAGGGGGGATGTAATCCTCTTGGATGCATAAACAGATGGAGAAAAACTCAATGCTCACTCCTGCCAAAAGTACTCAATACACTTGAAATACAGGTTATATACTTAACATCATCAGGGACATCTATTTTAATCTAGCAGGCATGGTGAATTTAAACCTAAGTGGGGGGAGCTGCTCGAAGCACTTCCATTAAAGTCAGGGATGAGACAAGGACACCCACCACTGCTAACATTCAACAGCTTTCTAGACATTCTATCCGTGCTGTCACACAGAGAGTGAGTGAGTGAGTGAGTGAGAAAATGAGACAGAAGTGTAATTATCATTAAGGCAGCAAAAGAAACTGTATTATTTGAAGACAATGAGTGGCCATTTGAAAATAATTCATTGAAACTCAGCATTTACTCAAATTTAGTAAACTCCTGTATATAAAAACCAAAACCAAATCCGCTGCCGTCGAGTCGATTCCAACCCTCAGTGACCCTATAGGACAGAGTAGAGCTGCCCCACAGGGTTTCCAAGGAGTGGCTGGTGGATTCAAACTGCCGACGTTTTGATCAGCAGCCGAGTTCTTAATCACTGCGCCACCAGGACTCCACTCCCATATATGAAAACCAAAGAATATATAAAATAATTAGGAATAAGACTAACAAAATGTATAGGACCTAAATAAAGAAACGTATAAGACTTTATTAAGGTAACATACATAAAATTAAAAGGAAAATAAAGAGAAAAATATTCATAAGTTTGAAATCTTTACATGAAATAATAGTGCATATATATAGCCGTATATATATATACATATAAGGATGTGTACATATATAATAACCATACATACATGTATATATAAGGCTGTGTGCATACATATATGCGAACACACATGTATATATAAGAACACAAACATAACAATGAAAGAACGATAAATTGGAACCAGCCATCATATCTAACGAGAGAGAACTGGTTTGAAAAACAAGGACAATGTATTCAAAAATGGACTGATTAGTTGTAAAAAGCCATATTTAAATTCTAATTACTAACATGAAAAACATTAAGTATAGAGAAAACAATGCGGTATAAATTAAATAGTTTGTTCCATTTCTCTTGGAAAAAACAAAACAATTTAGCTATGCACAGAACATGTTCCAGGAGGCTATCAAATATTTGCAGTGGTCCTCTTAGGAGGGCAAGATTAAAGATGAATTCATCTGTACTTCTCTAAATGCCCATGGATGGAGTGTGTAATAACAGTTTTTAAAATGGGCTGCAGAGCAGTGGTGTTTAACTCTCCTCTGATGAAAGCTGTGACCCTCTTCCCAGAATAAGGCCCCATACGAATCCGCCCTGACCACAGGCTGTCCATCCCCTCCGTGAGGACTGTGAATGGCCATGTGCCTAAGGCTGCTGGGGAAGAGAGCATCACCCACCACAGGAAGAAGAGAAAAGAGCAGACCCCAATTCAAGGGACCCAGGACCATGGACCTGAGGTGATGAGTGGGAGCCTGTTCCTTCCCTGGAAGGCAATTCTGCAATCGATACCAAAAGCCTTAAAAGGAGATAATGAGTACACTTCCAGGAATTCACCCAACATAAGTACAGAAATTTTTCTGCAGTAATTACTACAACAGCAGAAACTAGAAACCTTATAATGAATACCCCGTAGTTCTCTGGGCTTCAGAGCCTACAAGATGGCCTATTGCCACGAGGCCGTATTTTTCCGATGACCTTTTTTGGTCCTTTCCAAGCAGGCCTCAGCCTATCCAGCCACTCTTGGTCCCGCTGTGCCTGGCGCATGCCCTCCGCTCACTGCCAATCACCTGACGGCCTCCTCTGGAAAGTGCCTCTGGCTCAGCCCTTCAGCTGCATTCTTCTTTCAGATCAATGATTTTTTAGTTCTTGATTCTTAATTACTGCCTTTAATCACCTTATCCCTTTCTTAGTATCTGGTTCACTTACTCCTTCTTAATTACACTAACAACCTAGACGACAAAATTCCCTAAAAGGCTATATGGCTCTGGGGATGCCATCCAAATTCTCAGTTAGGCACATCGTAAGTTTATAAATCATAAAGAGGGGCTATGACCCCCCCCAAAAGAAAAAAACACCAAATAATGATCTGTGGGAAGATGATACTTGAATTCAAGCGAAAACTGCTCAAAATAGAATTACATGAGTGTTAGAGATATGCATTAGGACTTAAAGAAAGGGAACAGGCTGCTGTGATAAATTTCTACAAAACAATTCCATGAAGGATTGCAGACGAATGTCTGACACGAGAAGATATTCATGGCACATCAGGTTTTTTAAAAAAACACAGGTTACGAAGGACAGTATAAGCATATACACCACATATATGTAATTTTATCATTTTTCACAAGCACACACACAGTGTCAACAGTGGGGGTGTCTGCACGTGTGATGTGCGGGGCAGAGGCGTGTTTCCCCTTATAATTAACATGCATAGCTTTTATTATACTTTGGTAGTTTTCTTACATTTATTTTTTTCTTATTCAGGTTCCCATCAAGCTTACACAATACAATTTCCTTTTCGTAAAAAACAAACAGGTGTGCGTGTATGTGTGTGCAGACGGACGACAAGACGAGAAGGTCCTACACCGAAACGTTAGTCGTGAGCATCTCGGGGGAAGTTACCGCTCATTTCATTTTCTTCTCTACGTTTCTCAAGTTCCCTTTTGTCCAGCGAGCATCCAGTCGTTTAGCAATTTAGAAACAGACCCACAGTGTTTAAGGGGAAATGGGACCTGACAAAGCGCGTGTCCTTCTCTCTTGGGTGAGCCTGATTCTCATCTGAGAAACTCAAGAGCAGAAAAGACCCCTGGCAGGTTTGCACCGATGGAGGCTATTGACCCACTAATGGTGAAAGCAGTAAGTGACGAGGAAAACTTACTGTTAGTGAGTGTACTAAATCACAAGCTAAAGGGACGTTTCTGTGACAACTCTGGTTTGCTACAATGATTTCAGGTCTCTAGCCAAAGCCCAGTGATGTTTTAACTAAAGAATACTCACCTAAGCTGCGGATGGGCTGCATCAAACGCGGGCAGCTGTTACGTTAAATTTAACAAGCTGTGCTTAAGTTACAACATATTTAAACTCTTCCAAAATCGTGACAGTTAAACTCCTTCCTAGTACCTGGTCACTGAGGAAAGAAATGCCCTTTAAGCTCGTTGGGTATTCTCTTTCTAAGTCGTCAGTTTAGATGCCAGCGATCATTAATACCAGCAAGCGAGTGCTCAGAAGGCAGCCTGCCTTCTGTCAATAAGCACGCGAACCGAACTACCACAGCGGGGGACGAGGACCCCTTCCTCGGCACCTGCCCACGTCAGGGTGTGCAGAGAGGGGCGCCCAGGCCCAGGAAGAAACAAGGGATGCTGAGGCCAGGGCTCAGCCATACCACCAGCAGAGCTTCTGGCGGGCACTTTGGAAGCAGGACAGACAGACATGGTCTCCAACACAGTGACTGTCCCTCAGACAGACAGCCCTCCTGATGACTGACTGGGCTTCCCTGAAACCTGCAATTAGAGTCCTGCTGTAGTTAGCGCCTGTTTGCTCTCGCTCGTTCCCCCATGTGCCGCCGTACCAGGAAGACGATGGACTATAAAGCAAGCACACACTGAAAACTCCATTCAGACACGACCCTGCTTTACTGATCTATTTGATCAAGAGAAGCCGTAATAGGCTTCTAAAATGTCCCTGTCTCTAGAATACAGATTTCTTTAGCCTAGGGACTAATTTCTTTAAATCTATTAAGTGCTATATCAGTAGGTTCACTCTGGCGACAGCAAATGAAGGCAGCTAGGAAGCATTGTTCAAAAATATGAAATTCCACTTCAGCACTGCTTAACATTAACCTCCTCGTAACAGTGGATGATATTTAGGGATTCAGGACTTCCTTATTATATAACTAAGCTACTTTACACTTCAATAGTTTCAAAATATTAATGGAGGAAGAGCGCCAAAGCGAGTTGAGAAAGTCAGCAATACCCCAGCTTTATCGGCAAAAGATGAACAACTTGTATTTCAGAATAATACTGAGAACAGAACGGAGTCTCCCAAAAGGCTAATTCCCCTCATCAGTGTCTGAATATTTAGACATTAGTTCTTAATCTTTTTTGTGGGGACAGAGAGGAAGGGCTGGTTGTAAATCTATACCAATCTGATGAAACCTTCCTCCCCAGGAAAATGTCCACACAATTTGACAGAAAAATTCAATGGGTTTAGGAGCACCCTGAAGCCTACTGATGGATCTAACGTGGAATTTTCATCTTTGAGAATTACAGAGTATCCCTGCAGTACGATGGAGTGTTTTGTGTGGCCTTTCTTGTCATGGTCTGGTAACGCCCACCTAGTGACTGGGCGGGGCTATGCAAATCAGGTAACTGGGGCCCACCAAGGGGACTGGTCAGTTTTGTTATCCTGCTGGGCTTAAGAGAGGCAATTCCAGAGCAGAGAGAGGATCCCACCACCACTAAGGAAGACAGGCCAAGATCAGAGTGTGTCCTTTGGACCCAGGATCCCTGCACTGAGAAGCATCTAGAACCAGGAGACCAAGAGACGGGGGACAGGGAGAGACGTAACACTTAGAACGGTGACAAGCGGTGGCAGAGAAACAGCTGCAGGAGAGACTGGCAGGAGTCGGCGTGGCAGGCTTCCAGCCCAAGGAGTGAGAAAGCTGAGTGCCTTTGGGCAAGAGGCTTCCTGGGAGAGTGGGGTGCCTCGGGATACTTAGTCGCAGAGCTAAAAGAGCTTTCTAACACTTGCCTGGGCAGGGCAGATGCCAAGGGCCAGAGAAAGGTGCACCTGTGAGCACAGCTGAGAAGAGGCTGTCCTGGTGGAAGAACTGTATCCTGAGTATTTCCTCAACCTGAATTGTAACCTGTTACTTCCCTAACAAACCCCATAATCCTGAGTGTGGTCTGTGAGTTGTGTGTGGCCACTGCAATGAATTATCGAACCCAGCGGAGGAGTAGAGAGTCCCGTGGGAGGGACGGTTGGTGTCAGAATTGGTAAAGATGGCAGAGAGAGGAGGCATGTCTGACCTCCGCCTCAGAGAATCAGCCTTGGGCTATTGATCTTGATTCTCCTTCCCCCTTGTGAAGTTGGAGGAGGTCAGACGCCTCCCCCAGGCTGTTTTTACAACCTCCAATTTATAAAAATCCATCTACTCAATCAATACTCATCTACAATCTAAACCAGTAAGTAGAGGACAAGCCTCCTTTGCTTCAACTCAAAAACCACTTTGAGAGCATTGCCAAGTATTTAGTTCTAGAAGGAAAATGAAGACAAATCCTTAGAAGAAAAATCTTAAACTTCACATAATACAAACTTAACAGATGAAGAAAAGTTAATGGTTTAAAGTAATTGAGGTACGTTCTCTTATAAAGTATTGTCTTAATCATCTACTGCTCCTATGACAGAAATACCACAAGTGGATGGTTTTAACAAACAGAAGTTTATTTCCTTACAGTAAAGTAGGCTAAAAGTCCAAATTCAGGGTGTCAGCTCCAGAGGAAGGCTTTCTCTCTCTCTCGGCCTTCTCATCAGTGTTCCCCCAGACTAGGAGCTTCTCGGTGCAGCAACCCGGTCCAAAGGACGCGCTCTGCTCCTGGCACTGCTTTGTTGATGGTATGAGGTCCCCCTGTCTCACTGCTCACTTCTGTCTTTTATATCTCAAGAGACTGCCTCAGGACACAATCCAGTCTTGTAGATCAGGTCCTGCCTTACTAACACAACTGCCACCCATCCTCCCTCATTAACATCCTAGAGGCAGGTTTACAACATACAGGAAAATCACACAGTACCAGGAATCATGGCCTAGCCAAACTGATACACACATTTTTGGGGGGACATAATTCAAACCATAACAAGTATACACACACTTCCTGAATCACACCCGGCACAGTCAGGGATCAAGCACCAGATTCCAAACCACCCACACCTGCCGACATCAGTCTGCCTCAGAAGTGAGGTGGAAATGCCCTTACCTGCAGCAAAGGCAGAACACATGACAAAGAACATTCCAACGGCGATCCTTTTTAAGGATGACGGGAGTAAGCCGTTTCTTTTCAAAACGGGATCAACCAGCTTATCCTTTAGAGGGATCAGCAGGAGGATCAGCACGGCATCAAACATGGTCAGCCAGGCTGCCGGGAACTGGAAGTTTAAAACCGCAATGAAGAAACGTATTACCTGTCTACAGTGTGAACAGTACTTATGTGATAACACGTGTCTAAACGGGGGACGCTCATTTAAAGCTTGCTTCATTTCTACAAAGCACAACCTCCTAGGAAAAAACACTCTCAGCTTCAGGACACTGGAACCAGGAAAAGATTTTTACTTCTACATAAGGTTTGCATTTGTTCTTCCGTGCTTTAAGGGGAGGGGGAGGGAGAATCAGGTGAAAAATCTAATGCTTAATGGACATCAGTCAATTAAATCTAGAAAACAATGTGGCCAATGGAAATATATTCCCTAAAATAAGTAAAAATTCAATCTCAATAAGAACTTATTTTAAGTTCACACTAACTGCTAAAATTCATAAAATATCTACAACTGGCAGAAGAAATCCATTCACTGCATAACCCCCAAAGGACAGTTTTCAGATCATTTCAACTGTTCTTACCGTATGAGGGGTGGTTGTAATACTTGAAATCGCTGGAATCTTCAAATGAAGACTTTGTAAAACATATGTTGTCTGCATCTGGGTATAAAAAGCATCATCATTATATATGAACCAACTCCATCTTTCAAACATTTTAAGCACGTTACCAACCCCGAAGCCAACTCTGTGCGCCAAGACACAGCGATTCCCAGAAACAGATGCAGGTTCCCGTTGGAAAGCAGACAAGACAGTTACTGGGTCATGTTCAAAGTCTACTGGAGATCAGCTTTGAAAAAGAGCGGCCCAGTTGTTCAAACGAGAAGTTACATTCAGAGGAGGAGCCTACCAAACCAGAAGCATACTCGTTCTGAGCTTCTGTTCTGGAAAAGTTTTCCAGACATTTAAAGCAGCCAAAATGCGTGCATGACTGAGGACACAAATCCCAAGATCCCAGTGGCTCGTGAGAAGACAGAGTCCTGTGTACTCCAGCGTTGGCCAAAACAAACGCGCGGGCACCATTTCACAGGGTGAGAAGGGAACGCACGGCTGTGTGTCAGCACTCACCTGAAAATACACCGTCCAGTAAGGTATCAAAGCCAAGAAAACTGGGACGATCTTGACCAGAGCTTTCACGTCTTCCACTTTCTCCTCTGCGAACGGCCCTCCTCGGGACATCTTACATGAATCAAACAGACTGTGTTTAGAAGATTGCTGACAGACGCCAGTGCCTTGACTTTGGGAGATAAAATGAAGGAATTAGTTTTCTCCCAGCCCCCAGAAATCAATTATTTGGTAACAAATTAAGTCTGGAGGTAGGAAACCAGCTCACTATACTGAATTTGCTTTGGGTTCATTCTATTACTAATTGTACACACCAAATACAGCTACCTAAATTGTTTCTAACCATCACACAATGTCCTGGAACAGCTTACAAAAGGACCTTCCAGTCAAAGTGCAATTGCAGCTACTGTAATTCTGGAGGCAAGAAGGCAGAGTCAGACTGTGGCCAAACTGTGGCTGATCTTAACCTCAGCTTCGGCCACTGGGCAACAGGCCCCTGGCACTGGGAGGGGAAGCCTGCAGCTTCACCTGAGGCTGCCAGAGCTAACGTCAGCTGCATCACTGAACTAATATTTGGAAAAAACGTTTCCACTGCATTGTTTTGGTGTTTTAATTAGCTAATTCATCAAATGCCGAGGCCTGACAACCAATACCACTGTGGTTACATAAAGTTGTGCCGGTTGATTTAGCATGAAGTCGCTGGTGTTAACTAGGAGGAAGGGTTCTGTTCTGGGAGACCAACATCTCTCTCAGATTGAAGAAGTGCTAGAGGGGTCTAGTGGCACAGTGGTTAAAGTGCCTGGCTGCTAACCAAAAGGTCGGCGATTGGAATCCACCAGCTGTTCCTTGGAAACCCCACGGGGCAGTTCTACTCTGCCCTATAGTTGCTATGAGTCGGAACTGACTCGATGGCAGGGGGTTTGGTTAGAGGGGCCGGCCCGATGCTGTTACCTGAGAGCAGGTGACACCAAGTGCTCAGTGTGTGCCAGCCCTCGTCTGCGTGCTCACATGTTCATCACCAGGGCACAGAGGGTAACAAACGTGCCCAAAGGGACAAAGCTAGGGAGTCTGGGGCCGGGACAGGGGCCCAGGCAGTCTCAGCTTTGGAGCCCGTGCCCGAGCACCTGGACACGAGCGTGATGCGCCACCCCCATGGGCACACTCAGGCAGCTCAGGCCCATCACCCACAGTGCCTGGCTCTTACACTAGCAAACTCCCTTCACCCTACACAGTCTGCTTCATTATTTTCATTATTTATAAAATGCAGGGGTGTGACTAGACAGCTCCAAGGTTCTTAGAGGTAAAGTAAGAAAAAAAAATTAATTGCACTTTTCTGAAAAGCCAGAAATCCCAGGAGATGCTCACTGCCTTAACAACCTATTCCAATTCTGGGACTCAGATGTAAACAGGGAGAGTTGGCTTTCTAGTGTATAAACTCCTGTACCATTTAACTGTTTTACATTTAAATCTGGGCTTTCAAAGTAGGGGAAATCCCCCCAAAAATAGAAAACTGTAACTTAATAGTTTAGCCAAACTTTGGCCGTGAAAACTAAATTCAGTTCAACAGATAATAACTGAGCACCTTCCAACTGACCACACTGCTGTTACCGGTGCTGGGAATACGCAAGTAAACAAACAAGACACAGCTCATGTCCTGACGTAAGGGGTGGAGTCTAGTGGGGAAAACAGTCGGAAAAAAACACATTCGAAAGTGAAGCTCTAAATTCCAGGACTCTAAATTAGTTGTACCTTCATTTGAAAACTCATAGCTTCTTCAAGATTTTTTTTCCTCCCCCCATAACGGAAATTTAAAGTCCTTATGTACCTACCATATATACTATCAACGAATTACTATATCCCACTAAATGGGTGTTTCTCTAAAAACATTTGAATTTTAAATAACAAAACCATTTTCATACAAAGATCATTCACACAGGTTACTGGTTACACTGCTTTTGTTTCATGTTGTTAAAATGTTTTAAAAACTGCTAAGTCAACGCACGTCCAAAACTTCACCTTGTTCACGCATGTTGTTTGCGTGTGGCTCTGCAAAACGGAGCACGGGCACAGATGACACGGGCGCACAGACGAGAACCCACAGCTCCCCTGCACAAAGCTTATGTACTCAAGAGTCAAGGAGCCTGTGCTCCCGGGACTGCCTGCAAAGGCTCCCTGTGCACGTGTGTAACTTCCTCCCCGGGTCCAATCGTCCTCACAGATCCTCAACTCAAAGAGGTACCTGTCCCCAATCCAGGTCAATCGGCATAACAAAGCTTATTAAGAAAATGTTTTGCATCCTACTTTGGTGAGTGGCATCTGGGGTCTTAAAAGCTTGCAAGCGGCCATCTAAGATGCATCAAATGGTCCCAACCACCTGGAGTAAAGGAGAATGAAGAACACCAAAGACACAAGGAAAGTATTAGCCAAAGAGACAGAAAGGGCCACATAAACCAGAGACTCCATCAGCCGGAGACCAGAAGAAGCAGATGGTGCCCGGCTACCACCAGTGACCGCCCTGACAGGGAACACAACAGAGAGTCCCGGATGGAGCAGGAGAAAGGTGGGGTGCAGAACTCAAATTCTAGTAAGAAGACCAGACTTAATGGTCTCACTGAGACTAGAGGAACCCCGGAAAGCATGGCCCCTGGATTCTCTATCAGCCCAGAACTAAAACAATTTCCGAGGCCAACTCTTCAGACAAGGATTGGACTGGACTGTGGGATATAAAGTGATACTCGTGAGGAGTGTGCCTCTTAGCTCAAGTAGATACAAGAGACTAAACGGGCAGCTTCTGTCCGGAGGTGAGATGGGAAGGCAGAGACGGTTAGGAGCTGGTTGAATGGACACGGGGAATCAGGGGTGGAAAGGAGGAGTGTGCTGTCACAGTATGGGGAGAGCAATTAGTCACATAACAATGTACGTATAAATTTTCGTATGGGAAAAAATAAAAAAAAGAGGTACGTGTCCCCAAAGAGATTCAGAGCTATTTCCACTCAGGTCAGAAGAATGAACAAATACACAATAATGTCCCATTTAAAAACAGCATTAAATCACCTCCAAAACATAGATTAACCCAGGCCAGAGAGAAACTGGAATGGGGCCAGATGAAGTGAAGTGCCGTAACTACGGAACTATCGGACTATGGTGTACTTGCTTAGGCTTGGAGCCCACCGCCTCTTAGAACACCCTCACGGCGTAGTTCACATGAAGTGGGCTCCTAGTGCCTGGCACTCTCCTGAGGGCTCTGCACGTCGCCGTTCTCGGGCCTCACAATGATCCTATGACCTGTGTCCCATCTCCACTGCACAAAAAGGAAACAGAGGCTGAATGAGGCCACGGAAACTGCCCGAGGTCATGGAACCAGTAGGGAAGGAGCACAGTTGGGACAGTCTATAGCCCATCAGCTTTCTGCAAGCCAGTACTTTCTGTGTGTGTGCCCAAACTTCCACGAATAAATCGAAAAGGAAATCAGTTTCTAAGTAAAAGTGACCCCGGAGCCTCTCCACCACGCCACTTGTGCCTTGAAATCCAAAAACGTCCATGAAGCAATGTTGTTCTCTTACAGAAACGTCTATCGGGTACCACCTACACACACACACACTGAGAGCTGAGGTGGTGCCTTCAGAGGCTGCATTTTTGCTAACGGGCGTTCACAGAACAGAAGTCTGGGATCTGAAAGCATGAGTTGTTTGATTAAAACCAGGCCGTGACCAAAGACAAGAGCTTGCTGCCGAGGCACTGTGATTTTAATTTTCAACGATTCTTTAGTGTGCTCCCATTTGTATTTGTGGAGTCTTGGTCTGACTGCCACCCTGACCACTGGAATGTCTGGCCAGTCAACTAGGATGGTTAGAAAGGAGGTCTGTCAGAATCCCACACGAGAACCAGCTCCAGACAGCAGAGATGTTCTGCGTGGAGAAAAGAAACAGGGCCACAAGAGCTACTGTGATGCAGCCTCAAGTCTACCACGTGGAAGATTTCCTCTCCACAGCTCCAAGTACACACATAAAACAATGCCGAGGGCGCAGGGAGAGATCTGGGGGTTGGCCTGTGGAAGAGCACCCCGGCAGTCACGCTGTCCACCAATGGTGTGGGCTGCCCTGAGGCGGGAAGCTCCCCGTGACTGAGGGGTCACCCCTAGTCTGCAAGCACCTATCAAGAATTCCTACACTGATCAAAACGGTCCCTACAAAGGGGCACCAGGGGCATTTCGGGGGTGATGAGAATATCTTGTATCTTTACTGCAGTGGTGGTTACATGACTGAGTACCCAAAAAAACCAAACCCACTGCCGTCAAATCGATTCCAACTCATATCGACCCTGTAGGACAGAGAAGAACTGCCCCATAGGGTTTCCAAGGAGCGCCTGGGGGATTCAAACTGCTGACTTTTTGGTTAGCAGCCATAGCCCTTAACCACTATGCCACCAGGGAACTGTAGAGCTGAAAGGGGTAAATTTTACTACACGTAAAGTATATCTCCGTAAACAACAACAAACATTTTTCTGAGATCTCTTGGGCTAAATTCTCGACTTTTTTCTATTAAGCTGCATCTAGGGAGACCAACCGTCAGTTTGCCCAGGACACGAGCCTTCCAGCGCTAAAGCAGGGGAGTCCCCTGTAACCGGGACGAGCCCCACCTGCATCTCAGCATCCTGCCAGGGTGCCTCTCTGTCCAGGAGTGGCCGACGTGGCCGGGGGACAGTGGGGCTCACGCTGACCGCATCGCTGGCCAACTCAGCGGCACAGGCAGCAGCTTACTGTCTGAAGGAGCAGGCAGGTACCTCCCCAAATAAGCAACTGCTTGTTTTTTGATTCAAGAATATACCATCGCTTTTTGTAAAATTAAAAACAAACAAAAACGTACGAAGCGCGTATACTAACCCCTCTGCCTCCTCCACAAGTTTCTCTTTATAATCTGCCCCCGAGAAGCCAGCAGCTTCCTCTTTAGCAGAAGCTCAGGGCAGAGGTTGACAACCCAAGTTCCAGAATACCGCTACTGCCCTGCCTTTACAATGGGGATGACAGCACCGCACCCGCCTCCCAGGCAGGTGGGCGGCTAATGGAGATAAGACAGTTAAACCACTTAGCCCCGTGTCCAGCACACAGTAAGCACGCAATAAAGGTGAAGGTGGTGATTAGATTACAGTGACCAGTAAATCACATCTAAATAACGTGGTGAGGATAAGCACGTACCCATTACTACGATGTTCTCCTATCCGCTTCTGTGGACAGAAGGAATACGCCAGTATCTTGAACACGTCGGTGAAAGCACTGCCGTCGGGAGGTTTGGTGATGAAAAAGCTCTGGCCACAGAAGAAGACCACGAAAGCCACACCAATGCACACAGTGGGGATGACGTAGCCGATGACGAAGCTCACATTCTGCTGAATGTATGCGACGCCTCCCAACGAAACAATGGCACCCAAGTTAATGCTCCAATAAAACCAATTAAAAAACCTTCTAGTGGCTTCTGGACCTCGATCTTTAACCTAAAATAATAGGGAAGGAAGGAAAAAGAAGACTTGAAAACGTTTGCTAGTCTTCAAGGGGAAGAAAAACCCGACCACCATATGTAAATGAAGTGATGAAAGGAACAGCTGCCCTCACTGCCTTTAAGAAACGCAGCATGATCCAAATGACCTTTACAAATACAGTCAAGGGTCTCTGACAAAAAAGGATCCTACACTTCTAACTACTACAGATTCTGGGTAGCATTTCTCTTAATGATACCAAATCCTGGAGTTCCTCAAAGAAGCATCTGTGGACCACCTGCTTTGGAATAATCTGGGATATGTGTTAAAAATACAGATTTGCCCGACCCATGTTCCAGAAGTACCTGATCACAACCTCTGGTGTTGGGCCCAGGAATCTGCACTCAAACAAACGTTCAAATCCCAGGTGAAATGTATTCACAGGTGAAGTGTCAGAACTATAGGTATATAGCCCTGAGCCTGAATGAACTAAAAGTATGTACCACACAGCACCTAGCAAATGTGCTAAGGCCCCAAGAGAAGGACTGCTTGGTTCAATGAGGTGGGGATACCACACCTGTCAGTATCTGGTCTCCTGAGAATGAAGGCAGTGTTATACCTGGAACAAAGAGGAAATGACAGACTGAAGCTAATACCGTGTGCTATTTTTAGATTAGTAAGTCTACCGATGGAATCAGGAAAAATTCTGATAAGTTGAGAGAGATTTCTAAAAGGTTCAAACACCACTAATTTCCTTAACTTAGAAAAATAAGAGCACCAAGGTGGCTTATACCCTCCACAAGGCCATTCCAATAGAGCCAGAATGTAGGAAACGGCCATTTGGGGTAGGCACAGAGTCCTCTTACCAGCTGGATTTTTACATCTAAGTGTATACTGCAAAAATGAGCTATTACAACTCAAATATTTCTAAGGAGTTCCATTTCATAAAATAATGCTTAACAAGCTTACTACCTAAAGGCTGATGCTGGATCTCATACTAGCTGTCTTAAGATCTTCTGCTTTTTCGTCCTTATAACAGATCTGGTTTCTGATCCACAGAGTAATCTCCTCTACCGAATAACAAAAAGGTTTTCAGTGGAGGCCAAAACATCCAACTATGATATACAATAAGCTTCTTTTTAGTAGTCATATTATTTGATATATTTAAAGCTCTAGTTTTAAAGATCATAAATCCCTTTAAAGACCCAATTATTTTCTGCTTTGATTTTTTGTTGATATCATGTGTTTTCATTAATGGAAGCATGCTGAATTTTGAATGAGCTTGAATTTCTGGTAGGTAGTATGGATTTTTTTTTTTCTTGTCCACTCCCACAAGCCTACCGTGAGAGACCAGAGGGAGATACGTGGTCCCATTAACTCTACCCCAGAGCACCCCCCGAGTCCACCGGTACGTTAAAAAGAAAAAACAAAAAACCCCACTGCCGTCAAGTCAATCCTGACTTACAGCAGAGCAGAACTGCCCTATAGGGTTTCCAAGGAATGGCTGGTGGATTCCAACTGCTGAGCTTTTGGTAAGCAGCTGAGCTCTTAACCACTGCGCCACCAGGGCTCCATATGTGTACCACATAAAATTTTTGAAAATTTCTATTTTTCCTACCAAACATGCACACACCTCACACAATACTCTGTACAAAACAGTAACTTGTGGCAGATGCCTGCCTTTTCGGTTTCAAACAGTTACAAAGGCTCCTGCCTTGCAGCACCATATACTGTCAGTGGGAAAGGAGCTTCCCAATAACCTAAGAGGCAGAAAATGTTGGTGGGCACCCACATACCTCAAAGGCCACGAAAGGTTTTAAATACATCGTCAAAATCGTGTGCTACTCAGAATTTCTTTCTTTCTTTTTTTTAAATCCAAAATGATTAAGCATGGCTACTGCACGGACAAGTCATATACCTGAATTACGGTAACCACCACCTCAAACTGAAAATTTGAGTTTTAAATAAACCACAAGTTCTTAGAAGGAGTCCTACTCCTGTCAGCACCGATGAGAGGACCTCGGTCAAATGCAGGCATAATTACTGAACGCATGATTCGTACTGAGAATTTCTTATCCAGTACTTCCAACACAGACAGCTCCTCTTGGGGACACAATGCATTTAAATATACTAAACAGTGGGCTCAAACATCATGGCTATCCTGGAGACAGACAAAGTAAAGAGAAACTGTGAACAGGGAAATGATTACAAAGAAAACATAACTAATAAAGTAAAAAAAAAAAATATATATATATATATAATTTTTTGACAAGCTGAAATGAAAACCAAACCAAACCCATTGCCATCAAGTTTGATTTATAGCAACCCTACAGGACAGAGCAGAACTGCCCCACAGGGTTTCCAAGGAGTAGCTGGTGGATTCCAACTGCTGATCTTCTGGTTAGCAGCTGTAGTTCTCAACCACGGAGACACCAGAGCTCCTTGACAGGCTGAAACAGTCAGTAGATTCGGGGGCCTTTTCATTACCTATAGTGGCATTACACACATCTTCCCACAAACACTCTCAAGTATATCCTCTTCAAATGAAGCATGAAAAAATTAACATTCTATTAGTCTAGCAAAGTCCTAACGTTAAATTCCATTCACCCTCATTTCCTGTGGAAACTCACAGTTGATTTACTTACACCTTCAACGTTAGTCCATCAAAATTACTTTACAAACTGAAGGTTACTGCAAAGGCCCTAACTAACCCCATTCCAGTGATTTTCTGCAACAGATGAAAAGCTGGCTCATGTAAGCACAGTCACATGCTCCCTGCCCTTGGCTGGCAAACCCACAACACTCACGCCATGTTACGTTACATCACTGTCTGTACAGCTGCCTCACCCCTACACCAACGCTGAGCAAGCTTCTCATGTGGCTGGTCAAAAGATACCATGAAAATCAATTCAGGGACGGAAAGCTGAAAAGAATATTGTATGTAGTGAATCAAAAGGTTGGCTGACTTGGAAAACTTCCTTACAATACACAAGACAGCAATTTTTTCCTCTAAATGATTTTTTTTCCCATCATTTGCTCTATCTGTAAAATAGAAGCAGACCTGGTGGCACAGCGGTTAAGTGTTCAGCTGCTAACCTAAAGGTCAGCGGTTTGAAGCCATCAGCCGCACCAAGGGAGAAAGATCTGGTGATCTGCTCCCACAAAGATCACAGCCTATAGGAAGCCTGTGGGGCAGGTCTACTCTGTCCCATAGGGTCGCTACGAGCCAGAGTTGACTTGACGGCAAGGGTTTTTCTTTTTCTTTTTTTAATGTGCAAAGTAAGTTCTTCTTTCAGGTCACTGTTTCAAATACTCAACCGAACCAGAAAGAATGATCTGGATCTTTTAAAAAGGTTAAAGCACTGGGGGAAAGCATGTGGGGGCTGACATGATTTATTTACATCAAAATACATCACCCTTGGACTCTTTAGCCTCACATCTCCTTTCAAAAGCCAACCAAGGCTACACACGCTGAGCCCGCTCCGCTTTCAAATTAGCACTTTCCCAGAGGTGTGATACTGGAGATAAAGAGTCACAGACAAGCACAAGCTTCTTAAAAATACAAGTAGATTTCTCCAAGCAAGAAGGGTCGTTAATGGGGGCCTAAGCACGACACCATAGCCCTGTCCTGCAGTGACCAAACGCGCATCACAGCCGGGATGTGACCTGAGGTTCCCAAGACGTGCTTCCCTTCACGAAGCAGCAAGCACCTCCGGGACAAGGACTGCCTTTTCAATGCTCCTCTAAGAGCAGCCAGCACCTGGGACAGAGGACACAGCCTAGGAGGAGGCTTCTGCTTTTTTCCCTATGTTTTTTCAGTGAGATATAATTTTAAACTGCACAATTCAATGGTCTTTAGAATATTCACAAAGTTGTACAACCATCACCTCTGTCCAATTTCAGAACAGTTTCTTCAAAAGAAACCCTGTATCCCTCAGCCACCACCCCCAATGTCACCACATCCCCGAAACCACTCATTTACTTCTAGTCTCTATAAATTCACCTATTCTGGACATTTCATATAAAATGTAGCCTTTTGGTCTGGCTTCTTTCATTTAGCACGTTTTCAAGGTTCATCCATGTTGTAGCATGTACCAGTACTTCATTCCCTTTTATGGACTGAATAATATTCCATTTTACAGATATGCCGCATTGTTTTTCCACTCAGCAACTGATGGGCATCCCCTAAGTTTTCACTTTAAAAAAACTCAAATTTTATAGACAAGCTGAAAGAATTTTAAAATGCACCTTATGGAGCCCATACTAGGGCAGCGGTCTTGCAGTATAAGAGAGCACATTTCTTTTGAACATCTAGATTTAATTACGGACCAAAAGGGTGCAGATTCAATCTCGGTAACTTCTACAGAGCCATTCATCCAGCCTTTGAAGAAATATGAATTACTTGTCTATCATCTGTCAAGTACTGGGGAGCACTAACTTTTAAGTCTGACTGCCTGGGTCCAAAACCCAGCTCCCACTCACTAGCTGTGTGACCCTGGGTGCGTCAAACTCTCTAAGTCTTTGTTTGCTATAAAACGGGGAATTATATATCTGCTATTATTGAATTATAAAAGCTATAGGATAAATTGTCGTGAGGCTAAAGTAAGATAACGAGGGGCGAGCACAGAGTATAAGTGGCATAGGATAATCACTCATGTCACACTTCCGTCCTGCGGCCCAGTCTCTAGAAGACGGAATGACTTTGCTGACAGGGCCGCGCCACCGCTGTTGGTGTGTGAGTCGACGGCACCCCAGCCAAGGCCACCAGCCTTGGCCTCGAGATGGAAGGCTGACCCGACCGCATTTATGCCGCACCATCACAGATCGCACAGAAATCCACCCCATCCTGCTACGCTGGTTAAAGCGCAGATTAAGAAGTCAGACCCGGAATGAAGTCCCCAGCTTGACCACTCACTAGCTGTATGACAAGAAAATTACCTCCTTTTTGTGCCTCTGTTTCCCCATCTATAAAATGGACGTGAAAAGATGCACATGAAGTTCAAGTGAAGCCAGGTATGGAAAGCACGTGCCACGGTGCAGGAGCACAGTCAAGAATTCAACACATCAGGCAAGTGTTATTCTCAGCATCATTATAAGGCATCTCTCTCCTGTGGGGCTGAGAGAGCCTCCCACAGGCACGAAGCTTCCGCTCTGAGTCAAAGGACAAGTTTTGAATACTGGCTCAGTCACCTACTAGCTGTGGAACTTTACCTAACTTATTTAACCTCTCAAGCCTCAGTTTCCTCATCTGTAAAATGGGCACAACAGTAACACAAGCAAGATGTTATACGGACTAGTAAAGTCCTTAGCACAGTGCCTGGTACTCAGTAAGCCCTCAGTAAATGTTAGCTAGGGCCAGGTAACCAGTTATTTAGTACAAAACCCAGGGAGTCATCTTTGATGCCTCTTTCCCTACTTCGTATACAATCCACCAGCAATGCCTGCCCATTCTACCTCCATAAATTATCCCAAATCCATCTTCACTCCATGTCCACTGCCTCTATTCTAGTCCAAATCTCTCACCCGGCCAGGTGAAACAGACTCCTACCTGGTGTCCCTGCTGTCATCATTTTCCATACAACCTACTCCGTACAATACACACTGGCAAGCTTTTCTGTACAAGGCCAAATAGAACTATTTTAGGTTCTGTCAATTCTGCCACCGCATCTGAAAGCAGCCGATAGCAAAGACAGCATTTAATAAAACAGGAATGGGCAGGACTGTGTTCCAATAAAACTAATGGAGTTTGGAATTTGAATTTCATATAATTTTCACTTGTTATGAAATATTCTTTTTGTGATTTTTGTGGGACTTCACAATCTAAGAACCATTCTTAGCTTGCGGGCCCCACAAAAACAGGAAGTAAACCAGATTTGGCCCAAAGGCCATAGCTTCCCTAATTGCCGTATGCTTAGCTAAACTCTTAGAAACAGTTCAACCCTATAAAGGCTTCCTACAATATGCAAAACAGAACTCAACTCTTTATTTCACCTGACATGATCTGGCCCCGGCCTAACACACCTCTTTCCAGTTATTTTTAAACTCAGCAACAGAAAAACTGGGACCTCCCTTCTCTTCGTGGCACCAGGTCCTTTGCACTCCCCGATTCCCCAGTTCGGAATGTTCGTCCAGCACTGCTGCCTTATATAACCCTCAGGTCTCAGCTCAAACAGCCCCTCCATAAAGGCCGGTCCTTTATTTACACCCATTAATCCCTGTACATCACCCTGTGTTGGCCACTTTCCAGCACTTATCACAACCGGTCCTTACTGCTTTTGCATTTACTTATTCCTGCGGTTTCTCCCCCGAACTACAACGTAGCTGCCTGAGAGCAGAGAATACTCTTCTTCTTCTGCCTACTAAATAGCAGCCGTTGAGTTTTACGACCGCAGGGGCTGGCACGGGGCAGCCGTCGGGGTTTGGCGACCCACAGGGGCTGGCACAGGGCAGCCGTCGGGGTTTGGCGACCCGCAGGGGCTGGCGCAGCGCGGGCGCTGCCAGGTGGACAGGGCCGGGCAGACGGGGCGCGCGCCGGCTCACCTGGTCGGCGCCAAAGGGCGTGATGTTGGCCTTGACGGTGCCCACGCCGAGGCCCACGATCACGAGCCCCGCGAAAGTGGCGGGCGCGCAGTAGCGCGGAGGGCCGTCGTGGCAGGCGGCGCTGCCGTTGGGGAAGGGCGCCGAGCAGTTCTCGATGCGCGCGGGACGCAGGGGCCCGCAGAGCGCGGCGCGCGTGGAGGGCGCGGCCACGAGCGGGAAGGCCAGCATGCCGAGCAGGTAGAGCGCCAGGCTGAGCACGATGGTGCTCGCCTTGCCGAGCAACGCGTCGGCCAGCCAGCCGCCGAACGGCGACACCAGGTAGGTGACGCCCATGAAGAGCAGCAGCGCCTGGCTGGCCTGCGCGCCCTCCCAGTTGAACGGCGCGCCGTTCAGGAACAGCACCAGGTTGGCCGTGACGCCGTAGAAGGCGGCGCGCTCCAGCAGCTCCGTCAGCAGCACGGCGCCGCACGCCACGCGCCTGCCCGCGAATGCTGACGACGCCCGCCGCGCGCCGTGGTTGCCCGAGCCCAGCAGCGGAGTCCGCTCCCCCAGACCTGCCATGTTCGCCGCCGCCGGCCGGGCCTCCACGACCTACGACCACCGCCCTTCTCGCGAGACCTTTCGGGCATCCCCATTGGACGGGCTCGACGTCGCTCAGCCTGTCGGGAGACTTCCGGTTCCGCCCCTGAAGCCGGGGGAGGCGGCGAGGCTGCTTCCTGAGGAGACGGAAAGGAGGCTCCCGGGCTAGTGGTCGTGAAGTGCCCACGGTGGGTGTTTTTAAAAACGAAGGCAGAGCTTAACACTCCGATACTGCAAGCCCTTACAGGTTGCCAGTGGGCAGCTAATACCCTGGCTCCTAACAACGGCCTCGAAGCGTTGCCTGCTCTCCAGGCCAATTTCCCAGAGCTGGCGCCACGCCCCCTGTGCCCCAGCCTCCCGGGCCCCCTTGGTGTCCTAGGTCAAAGTTTATCAGCCTCAGCTCTGTTGACGTATTGGAGGCCATAGTTGTGGTGGGGGCTGCCCTGTGCATTGTGGGAGGTTTGGCTGCATCATTGTCCCTACCCACCGGATGCTTGTACATCTCCGCCCCTCCACCCCTGGTGTGACAACCAGAAATGACCCCGCGAATAAGCGATGTCTCCTAGGGACAGAGTCGTCCCCCCTTGAGAACCACTGTTCTAGGACAAGCCAAGTTTTAGCCCGTTTCAGGCCTTCGCAGAGAGACTGCCCCCAAACCACCCATTGTCACAGAGCTGGTATGTCATCCTTCATTAGCCCTAGACTCAAATATTGCCCTATTAGGGAGACACTTCTTGACCACCTCATCCAAAGTGGGTCCCACCCTATCACGTCACCTGGTTTTGCTTACCCCATAGCACGTGTTACATTTTTTCTGTTTATTTTTTGTATCTCTCCTGCTTGTGTATGTTCTCCAGGAGTGTAAGCTCCGTGGACGCAGGGTTATTAGGTGTCCCGTTCCTCTTCATACCCCCAGTGCCTAGGATGGTGTCTGGTACGTGCTAAAGTGGAGTGTCACCCAAAAGTGGCCACCACCGCGGTCCAACGATTCAATTAGTTCAAGTGAGTAAAACCCTTTCCCATTATTTCATCCTTACCTCCAGCTAAGACCAGGAAGGACCCATTACTTAGGGAAGGGGGTTTGTCCTAAAGTCATCTGATAAAGTCAATCCTGCCAATAAGGTTTGAAGTAGTGTGTATTATCTTTTTAAAAAAAAAAAATTAAGTGGCTGACTACGGTTTGATGCCTGGCACAGTGCTAGATAAATAAATATGTAATAATTATTTAATGAGAGGATAACTGATTGCCAGAACTGGACTTTCCCCGCCCTGTCCTTTAATGCTAGTCATTTTTCAGTTCTCAGCTCAAATGTCACTTTCCTGATCCTCCCACTTTACATCAGTCCCCATTTTATATGTTGTTAGAGCTCCATATAATTTTTTATACAGCAGCCATTATAATTTAAAATTATTTTGTGAAATTAATTGATCAATGTTTGTCCCCCCACCACTACCACCACCAAGTCTGAAAGCTGGGAGGACTGGGATCTTGTTGGTTTGCCTACTACAGTATTCCGAGTCTAGCACAGCACCTGCCAATGATAAATATATATGGAATTAACTGAATGAATAGGCATGTGTTGAATTGTAAATGGTGTTAGGAAAAACATCTTACATTCACCTTTTTGGCGGGCAGGGGAGCTCCCTGTGATGTTGTAGGGTGTATATTAATATCCTGAGTTCACTAATGGAAAAAGCAAACCCCTCAAGGTTCCTGACCAGGTTCACAGAAACCGTGTAACAAGACTTGTAACTAATTCCTGGTCTAGTGCTTCTTCCACACTCCAGCTGGTGGATGAGACAGAACCTTCAAGTTTATATTCTAACACCAGTGGGACTAACACACTCAGGCAAAGTACAGAATAAAGTTAACATTAAACATGGCATCGAAGCAAAGCCATTTGACTTAAGTCATCCATGATGACTTAGTGTCTAAAGACTGCCCAATACAGATGTGACATTTTGGATGACAGTAAACTAACCCAACTGGATCATCACCTTTGGAAATAAAGCTAAGTAAGAAATAAAAGGCAGGGCATGGGGGAGGATGGAAGGCAGTCACAGAGTTTAGGATGTATGCTGATGAATACTGAGTAGTTGTTCCTGGTCCCCACGAGATCTACCCTACACTGGGGTCTTTGATAACTTGAGGTTGCAAAAGAAATCTAGTGTGCAGAAATCTTTTGTTACAGTGTTTTCAAAAGACCAAGGCTGCATATTGTGTGATTCCATTTATGTGAAATGTCCAGAATAGGCAAATATATGGCATCAGAAAGATTCGTGGTTGTCTAGGGTTAGTGAGAGGTGTCCCTGGGGGCACAAATGGTTAAACACTGGACTGCTAACCAAAAGGTCGGTGGTTCAAACCACCCAGAGGTGCACCTCAGAAGTAAGGCTTGGCAACCTGCTTCTGAAAGGTCACAGCCTTGAGAGCCCTATGGAGCAGTTCTACTGTACACACATGGGTTCTCCAGGAGTCGAAATCGACTCAGCAGCAACTAACAACAAGACGGAGAGGAACTGCTTAATGGGTATGGGGTTTCTTTTGGGGATGATGAAAATGTTCTAAAATTGATTGTGGTGATGGTTGCACCACTCTACAAATATACTAAAAACCATTGAATTGTACACTTTAACTGGGCAAATGGCATGCTGTGTGAATTATATCTCAATAAAGATGCTACCAGAAAAATGAGCCAATAATGGAAAATTGGGAGGTTTCATGTATATAAATTCAGATGCTGTTCTGCTCTTGAAAAAAATTGGAAACTCTGGCACCACTGGCCTTATAGTTGTTACACCAGTGGCCCCATAAACCATGCCTTCTGGTATCCTGCCTTTATGTATTCTCCTTCAAAGGTCACAGCCCACAGGGCTGGACATGTGACCTACTTTGACCAGTAGAATGTGGCAGAAGTGGCCCTGGGCCAGGTCTGGGCCTAAGCCTTAAGAAGGTCTGGAAGCTTCTACTTTTGTGCTCTTGGGAGCCCTGAGCTACTGTCTAAGAAGTTCACCTTCCTTGCTGGAGGGATCCCACGGAAAGAGTGTGTGTGGAGGGAGAGGCTGAGACTTTGGAAACGAGGCCCATGTTGTCCAAGCATCCCAGCATTCAGCCACACAAGTGACCACCAGCAAGACCAACAGAAAAACTGCCCAGCTGAACCTCAACCTAGACTGCAGAATCATCGACAGATAAAATGGCTGTTATGTTAAGCCACTAAGTTCTGGGGCAATTTGTCACTCAGCAACAGATAATTGAAACACACCTGCATCCCCCACGGTCACCATCTGCTAACACTAGGGAGCCACCACTCTGCTTAGACAGACACACACTTTGTAGCTTACCTAAATCTGCACTACTCCCTATTGTCTGGCTTTTCTTATAGTAGGGAAATAAGTCTCTATACGTGTGCTACCCAGTACGGTAGCTGCCAGTAGCCGTGTGTGGCTATTTAAATTTAAATTAGTTAAATGAAAAATTTAGTTTCTCAGTCGCATTGGCCACATTTCAAATGCTCAATAGCTACATATGACTAGTGGCTACTGTTGTGGACAGTGAAGCATGGATCACTTCCATCATTACAGAAAGTTCTATTAGACAACCCTGCTCTGTGCTAACTGATGAGCATGACTGTACATTAGCGTAACCCTCTTTCTTCCTGTAAAAATGGCTTGACAGAGGCGTCTGACCTCTAACTTCACAAGGGGGAAGGAGAATCTAGATCAACAGCCCAAGGCTGATTCCTGCGAGGCAGAGGTCAGACATGCCTACTCTCTCCACCATCACAACTGTCTCTCCCACGGCACTCTCTACTTCTCTGCTTGGTTCAGTAATTCACTGTTGCAGTGGTCACACAGAACTCGCAGACTGTACTCACGATTATGGGGTTTATTAGGGAAGTAACAGGTTACAATTCAAGTTCAGGAACTCTCAAGATACAGCTCTTCCATCAGGACAGTCTCTTCTCAGCCATGCCTGCAGGCACCCCTCTCCATGGCCCCTTGGCCTCTGCCCTGCTCCAGCAAGTGTTACAAAGCTGTTTCAGCTCTGCCGATAACTGCCCCGAGGCACCCCACTCTGCCGGTAAGCCTCAGCCCGAAGGCACTTAGCTCTAGTTCAGTGGCTTGGCAAGGCACCCTACTCCCCAGCAAACCTGCTGTCCAAAGGCACTCAGCTTTCTTGCTCTGTTGGCCAGGAGGCCCACCATGCAGTCTCCTCCTGCCACCATTTCTCTGCCACTGCTTCTCGCTGACTCTCTCTCCATGCAGCCCATGACATCCCATGCCGCCTGCAGTCACTGGCCCAGGGGTGGACAAGTGACCTGGGCTGGCTGAGTCAGACTAAGGGAAAGGATGCTTGTTCCATGGCTGTGAGAGATACACTCTTCCAAATTGGGCACAAATTGGGAAGCCTGTAGCCCTGATTGTTCCAGCAGCTGGTTTACAACCATGAAATGTACCAACTTAGGAGGAAACCAACTTTGTGGATGACACGGTAGAGAATCAGAGAGAAGTTAGACAGTAAAAGATAATAAATCTCTATAGTTTAAGTCACTGTGTTGGGTTTTCTATTGTGGTTGTTAGATGCTGTTGAGTCAATTCTGACTCATAGTAACCCTGTGTACAACAGAACGAAGCGTTGCCTTGTCTTGCACCATCCTCACAATTGTTGCTATGTTTGAGCCCGTTATTGCAAAAGCAGGTCCCAAAAGCTTTACTCCGTCCATGTCAGTAAGGTCGACTCTGCTTTGAGGAGGCAGCTCTTCCCCTGTCTTAGTCATCTAGTGCTGCTCCAACAGAAATATCACAAGTGGATAGCTTTAACAAAGAGAAGTTTATTTCTTCAGAGTCCAGTAGGCTACAAGTCCAAATTCAGGGTGTCAGCTCCAGGGGAACGCTTTCTCTGTTGGCTCTGCAGGAAGGTCCATGTCATCAGTCTTCCCTTGGTCTGGGAGCTTCTCTGCGCTGAAACCTCAGGTCCA